AATTCTTCAGCGTTTAAGAACTGCCGGGTTTTCCTGTAGTAGGCGGAACTAATTCGCAAACGACAATGTCATGGGCTGGGGCTCACCTATTATCGTCCCTGTATTGATTTCAGCAAATCAGTTCGAGCAAACGCACACAACCTGATTAATATTCATGAATCCAGTAGCTCATTAATCCTTAGTGCGTTTTTATATTGTTCTTATTAGTAGAATTCGTATAATAATAATAATAATAATATCTTATCAGTATTATTGTTCGTTTTTTTTTTTTACAGGAACACTGAATGACCAAAAAAAGCACCAGCACCAGTCCTCTAAGTTCATGGTTACCAAGTTTTAATTCTAATTACTAAACTTCTATTATTAAATAATACTTGATTATCATATTATAATGCTCGACTGCTTGACTGACTGATATTAAGAGTGTACTTTCAGATATTTAAAAAGCTGTACCATTTTACAAACATTATATATGTTTGTAAAATGGCATAACATACATACATATATATATATATATATATACACACATATATATTATAGTATAGCATTGTATTTCAGTCTGGCGAGTAAACAAAAAAAAATTTTACTAGCCAATGGCAATTCAATTGCCAAGGTGTCCATAGAGGGTTTGCTTTATGACCTCCTGGATGAGTCGTCGTTGCGCTCTTGGAGTAATTTTGGTAGGCTGGCCACTCCTGGGAAGGTTCACCACTGTTCCAAATTTTCTTCATTTGTGGATAATGGCTCTGACCGTGGTTTGCTGGGGTCCCAAAGCCTTAGAAATGGCTTTATAACCCTTTCCAGACTGATACATGTCAACTATTTTGTTACTCATCTGTTCTTGAATTTCTTTAGATCGCAGCATGATGTGTTGCTCTTTAAGCATGCTTCACTTCTGCAGTGCCCCCGGAGGCGGCAGACAAAGCTGCAGTGCCACCGTCGCGGAAACGGAGGAGGAGGAAGAAGGCTTCTTCCGTCCTTCAAGGCCGGGAGACCTTCCTAGAGCCCGGTGCCCTGCCGGCTCCGCTCAAGCTTCATGCCCTGCCGGCTCCACCCAAGCTCAAGCTTCATGCCCTGTCAGCTCCGCCCAAGCTCAAGCTTCATGCCCTGCCGGCTCCGCCCAAGCTCAAGCTTCATGCCCTGCCAGCTCCGCCCAAGCTCAAGCTTCATGCCCTGCAGTAATCAGGCCTGGGTGTGGCTAGTGAAAATTAACTCAGCTTTCTAAAATAATGTGGTTAATCACAGTTCTTTCATGATTTAACAGGAGGGGGCAATTAATTTTTCACGTAGGGCCAGGTAGGTTTGGACAACTTTTTTTCCCGTTGATTTGTATTTATTTGCATTATCTTTGTGTAATATTAAAATTGAAATGAAAAACCTTTTCATGGCACTGTGTATATATATATATATATATATATATATGTGTGTGTACAATTACATAAAATGATTTGTCAAATATCAAAAAGTCACATTGTGAAATATTATTAAGATACATACAATTTAAATACATTTTTTTAGTGCTGGGCAACAATTAATAGCAATTAATCGCATCCAAAATAAAAGTTTTTGTGTACATAACATATGTGTGTGTACTGTGTATATTTATTATGTATATATAAATACACACACATGTCACAGTCTTCAGCGGGTGTGCCCAGGATGGCCACCAGATGACACTGTTCTCGGTGAGCACATGGCTTGTGTTGTGTTTGTTTTGTGCCATGTGCTCTCTCCTGTCTATTGTCTTGCCCCTCCCATCTTGTTACCTCGTTATAGTTTAAGTTGCTCCACCTGTGTCTCCCTCGTTAGCCTCCTCGTTTGGTTTCCCATTTATTCTCCTGGTGTCTGTAATCCTGTGCTGATCCGTTGTTTTTCATTGTGTGTGTGTGTTATGTCTGCATGTAGTGCAGTTTCGAGCCTGCCTGTCTGCATTTCCCCCTTTGGGGTGGTTTGAGTTTGTTTTTGTTTAATTTTATTATTAAAGAGAGAACCATTCCTCCTGCACTTGAGTCCTCGCTTCCTCTATCCTCACGCACCGTGACAACACATGCATGTGTATATATTTAAGAACAAATGTGTTTTTATATTAAATATATATATAAATTATATGTGTATATATGTTTTCAAAATATATACTATATGTGTGTCTTTATATATACATAATAAATATATACAGTGCACATATATATATATTATATACCTAAACTTTAATTTTGGATGCAATTAATCGCTATTAATCATAGCCCAGCACCTTTTTTTTTTTTTTTTTTTACTTTCTAATATATTTAAAGGTGTTTATTTTTTT